CTGCTACAGTGTCAATGTTACTAATTTCAGTGCTATATGTGGTTATGAACTGCTACGGTATCAATGTTTCTAATTTCAGTGCTATATGTGGTTATGAATTGCTACAGTATCAATGTTACTAATTTCAGTGCTATATGTGGTTATGAACTGCTACGGTATCAATGTTTCTAATTTCAGTGCTACATGTGGTTATGAATTGCTACAGTATCAATGTTACTAATTTCAGTGCTATATTTGGTTATGAACTGCTACAGTATCAATGTTACTAATTTCAGTGTTATATGTGGTTATGACCTGCTACAGTGTCAATGTTACTAATTTCAGTGCTATATGTGGTTATGAACTGCTACGGTATCAATGTTTCTAATTTCAGTGCTATATGAGGTTATGAATTGCTACAGTATCAATGTTACTAATTTCAGTGCTATATGTGGTTATGAACTGCTACAGTATCGATGTTTCTAATTCAGTGATATATGTGGTTATGAACTTCTACAATATCAATGTTACAAAATGTACTAATTTCAGTGCTTTATGTGGTTATGAACTGCTACAGTATCGATGTTTCTAATTTCAGTGCTATATGTGGTTATGAACTGTTACAGTGTCAATGTTACTAATTTCAGTGCTATATGTGGTTATGAACCGCTACAGTATCAATGTTTCTAATTTCAGTGCTATATGTGGTTATGAACTGCTACAGTATAGATGTTACTAATTTCAGTGCTATATGTGGTTATGATCTGTTACAATATCAATGTTACTAATTTCAGTGCTATATGTGGTTAATGAACTGCTACAGTATCGATGTTATTAATTCAGTGCAATATGTGGTTATGAACTGCTACAGTATCAATGTTATTAATTCAGTGCTATATGTGGTTATGAAATGCTACAGTATCGATGTTACTAATTTCAGTGCTATATGTAGTTATGAACTACTACAGTATCGATGTTATTAATTCAGTGCTATATGTGGTTATGAAATGCTACAGTATCGATGTTACTAATTTCAGTGCTATATGTGGTTATGAACCGCTACAGTATCAATGTTTCTAATTTCAGTGCTATATGTGGTTATGAACTGCTTCAGTATCGATGTTAATAATTTCAGTGCTATATGTGGTTATGAACTGTTAAAGTGTCAATGTTACTAATTTCAGTGTTATATGTGGTTATGACCTGCTACAGTGTCAATGTTACTAATTTCAGTGCTATATGTGGTTATTGTGGTTATGAACTGCTACAGTATCGATGTTTCTAATTCAGTGATATATGTGGTTATGAACTTCTACGGTATCAATGTTACAAAATGTACTAATTTCAGTGCTTTATGTGGTTATGAACTGCTACAGTATCAATGTTATTTATTCAGTGCTATATGTGGTTATGAACTGTTAAAGTGTCAGTATCAATGTTATTAATTCAGTGCTTTATGTGGTTATGAACTGCTACAGTATCGATGTTACTAATTTCAGTGCTATATGTGGTTACGAACTGTTACAGTATCAATGCTACTAATTTCAGTGCTATATGTGGTTATGAACTGTTAAAGTGTCAGTATCAATGTTATTAATTCAGTGCTTTATGTGGTTATGAACTGCTACAGTATCGATGTTATTAATTCAGTGCTAAATGTGGTTATGAACTGCTACAGTATCGATGTTATTAATTCAGTGCAATATGTGGTTATGAACTGCTACAGTATCAATGTTATTAATTCAGTGCTATATGTGGTTATGAACTGTTACAGTATCAATGCTACTAATTTCAGTGCTATATGTGGTTATGAACTGCTTCAGTGACAATGTTACTATTTTCAGTGCTATATGTGGTTATGAACTGTTGCAGTATCAATATTACTAATTTCAGTGCTATATGTAGTTAGGAACTGTTACAGTATCAATGTTACTAATTTCAGTGCTATATGTGGTTATGACCCGCTACAGTATCAATGTTTCTAATTTCAGTGCTTTATGTGGTTATGAACTGCTACAGTATCAATGTTATTAATTCAGTGCTATATGTGGTTATGAAATGTTGCAGTATCAATATTACTAATTTCAGTGCTATATGTAGTTAGGAACTGTTACAGTATCAATGTTACTAATTTCAGTGCTCTATGTGGTAATGAACTGCTACAGTATCGATGTTATTAATTCAGTGCTATATGTGGTTATGAACTGCTACAGTATCGATGTTTCTATTGTCAGTGATAAATTTTGTTATGAACTGCTACAGTATCAATGTTGCTAATTTCAGTGGTATATGTGGTTATGAACTGTTACAGTATCGATGTATTAATTCAGTGCTATATGTGGTCATGAACTGTTACCGTATCAATGTTACTAATTTCAGTGCTATATGTGGTTATGAACTGCTACAGTATCAATGTTATTAATTCAGTGCTATATGTGGTTATGAACTGCTACAGTATCAATGTTACTAATTTCAGTGCTATATGTGGTTATGAATTGCTACAGTATCAATGTTTTAATTTCAGTGCGATATGTGGTTATGAACTGTTACAGTATCAATGTTACTAATTTCAGTGCTATATGTGGTTATGAACTGCTACAGTATCAATGTTATTAATTCAGTGTTATATGTGGTTATGAACTGTTACAGTATCCATGCTACTAATTTAAGTGCTATATGTGGTTATGAATTGCTACAGTATCAATGTTTTAATTTCAGTGCTATATGTGGTTATGAACTGTTACAGTATCAATATTACTAATTTCAGTGATATATGTGGTTGTGAACTGTTACATTGTCATTGTTACTAATTTCAGTGCTATATGTGGTTATGAACTGCTACAGTATCAAACGTGCAGCTTCCCTCCAGACAATCATCCTAGCATGCAAGTTAATAGCTATTGGATTGATAGTTATTTTTGGTCTGATTAACATCGCCAAAGGTAAGTTAACGCATAATCTATAAAACCATCTATTTTACATGGGATCCGTGATTATGTTCCAAATAATACGGCTGAATGTTCTTTGATGTGTTCTTTGCTTAAAATCCCCAAGCTTAGTTTTGACAAAACGTTTTACATTTAATAGAACTGTTGATATCAGAATAAAATGCCAAAAATTATAAACAAATTCCATCTTCCATAAGCAGATTTCAAAATCTCTCCATATACTGTAAAGTGGGGAAATTAAATCAAGAAAAAAACTCCAATAGTGAAAGTCAACAACCGGACCCTGATGTCCAGCGAGGACGATGGGAAATCCTACTTGCTCTTTTCACCTCTGATGGTGTATACACAAGCGGTCTAGCAACAGAATCGCTCTTGACGGAAGCAAAGTTGACCAAAGCTGGGTTTTCCTTTTCTGCTGCCTTTTCGCATCTCTGTCGAAAACCTCTTTTGTCGATATATGATATTTGTATACAAAAATTGTATTTTTAATCAATTATTAAAAAAAAAAAAAAAAATTGTTTCGCCTAAATGTTCAATTGAGTGTCTGGTTTATCTAAATTTGGCCGTTCGTTTTATAGCCACTATATATTAACATCGTGAGAATTGTCGTTAACTTTCAGGAAACGAGGAAGAACATTTGAAAGAACCGTTCAAGGTAGATGAGGTGAATATGAGTGGCATCATATTCGCTCTTTACGTCGGGATATTTGCGTATGGAGGAGGGTTCGTAAGTTCGTTCCTGTCTTTTCGGGGATTTTTGTATTGTCTTAATCTTTTATTTAGTATAAGTAACTCGGTTTTGCCTGGGGATCAGCAGCCAAATTGTATACGACGGTTAGAGATAAGAGGCTCAAGGTATAAAGGACTTTCTGGGAATGAGCAACCACACAAGATTTTCTGAAGATGAGCCGTTCGTATCATTTATTCGATAGGTTAAACGATTACAACATGATGTTCAACTACTTCCGTTACACATTCACTGTCTTTAAAGAGTTTCTTACTCTCGTGTTTCCTCGTTTACTCTCGTGTTTCCTCGTAAGTTCGTCCTGGTATATTAGTCGAGGGTTTAAAGGAAAACATTACTCGTTCTTGAAGAAATCCTGACCTATCTGAGAAGCATTACCTTTTGGATTAAGAATATCAATCAAGGACAATATGGCTAACTTTCACGGGATCTATAATACACGATAGTTACCTATTGTTACCGTTTTGTTACTTACAAACCGAACTATAACCAAATAGAATTCTTCATTCACAAATCAGAAAATTCAATGCGCATTCATGTATATGATAATACTATCAGAGGCTACATATAAACAATCATATATAAAATAATGTAAAGAAATTGTTGTTTTTTTTCAGGGATTCCGCTTTGTTTGCCTTTGAAGAGTATGTTTCTCCTAGGAGGTGAGAAACTTATTAAACAAGTTAATGGTTTGCCAGTTTTATCTTAATGCAATCTGCGTAATTAGAACCATAAGAAAGTTAAACCTATAAGTCGTTTGTATTACATTTCTAGTTTGGTCAGTTTCTATTATAAATTATAAAAGTGCTTATTAAATCTAAATATACTCTGTTGAGCTCAACAGTCTTTTCATATAATCTGCCACAATACACGTTTTGTCACTTTTATATTATTATTATTATATTATTATTTTTATATTTTCATATTTTGAGTCACTAATATTTTTATTAAACGCTGTTAGATAGTTTTGATTGAATTAATTAGACAGTGGCCAAAACAAGACCAGACGAATATGAAATTTCATTTTATAAGAGTATCGAATTACTGGAAAGCTTTATTAATAATAAATAACAGGAACATTCCGCTCGCCATTGTGATTGGTCACACCATTCCTATTGTGGCCTACCTGCTAGTCAATGTTGCGTACTACAGCGTCCTTACAACAGAGGAGATCACTTCCGGTCTAGCAGTTGCTGTGGTGAGAACTTTTTGATATAATTCTTTTTAATTTAATTTAAATCTTTGAATGAAAAGCATTTTGTTGATCATGTTAGCTGAAGTCTCATTCATCGAATACATTTTGTAGAAACGTATGCTCTCTGATTTTGTGATATTTTTGGGGAAAAAATATGATAATTTATTGCCGATTGAGGACATTTAAATGAAAAATGATAACTAGAAATAGGAAATAACGATGAACTTATTTGACCAAAAAAGGAGGTCGTTTCAGAATGCCAAACAGGGTTACCACTTTGTGCACAATATGGCTTGTTTTCCTTGTGAAGGTCACCAATGGTATTAAAAGCCAAAAGAACAAACAACATGTCTTCAATGTTCCGACGTGTATTTAGACATGGCTAGACAATATGTTTGGGTAGGGACATACATTGTACTATTATATTACGAGACAATGTGTTGTGGAAGGGACATACATTGTACTGTTATATTACGAGACAATGTGTTGTGGTAGGGACATACATTGTACTATTATATAACGAGACAATGTGTTGTGGTAGGAACATACATTGTACTAATATATTACTAGACAATATGTTTGGGTAGGGACATACATTGTACTGTTATTTACGAGACAAATAGTTGTGGTAGGGCCATGCATTGTACAAAATGACACTTTAGTACCTGGTGTGGGCACCTTTTGCACGAATCCCAGCACGGATTCTCCTTTGCATTGAATTCATGAGAACATTTATTCGCCTTAAGGAAATGTTGTTCCATTCTTGTGTTAATACTGCGATCAACTGGGCGCGGTTGGTTGGGAGGGTGACGTTTCCTAACACGCCTGTCCAGCTCATCCCACAGATGCTCAATGGGAGACNGCTCAACCACAGATGCTCAATGGGAGACATGTCGTGGCTATATGGGTGCCATTCCAGAGGCTGAACGTTGTTTGCCGTGAGAAAATCAAGACAGACTCTGGCAAAATGCGGTCGAGCATTGCCTTGCTGGAAAATTAGGTTATGACATCTGAGAAGTGGAAGGACATGTAGTTGGAGACTCTGGTCTCTGTATCGAACGGCATTTAGGTTTTGATCCAGGACCATTAAGTGTGATTTTACTCCATGGGAGATGCCTCCCCAAACCATTACAGAAGCCCAACCGAATCTATCGCGTTCAACCACGCATGCGTCGGCGAAACGCTCACCGCGTCTGCGATATACCCTTTTTCTTCCGTCTGAGCGATACAGACAGAATCTAGACTCGTCGGTGAACATCACACGCCTCCAATCGAATCGCCCTGTCTTGTCGTGCGGTCGTTACACGCAGACGACCGCTCCTGGGACGATCGGAAACTTACCCAGTAACACGGAAACGTAAACAGAGACGGTTAATTGTACACGGGCCAACACCAAACTGCCGTGCGACAGCCGTTTGGCTATGACCATCCATCAACATCGCAATTGCTCTACCCCTCTGAATTTGCATTAAGCGTGGCATCTCAGTCAATGGCGAAATCAAATCAATGTGGCTAAACTTTGAGTATCCGTTAAGATTATTTGTTTGAAAAACTCCGGCTTGGCTTGATCACGCCGCGCGATTTGGACTAAAGAAGCTCACAAAGTCACACAATGACATCATCACGCTTGGCTGATTTTAGGGTAGATTGTTGAGAAGGAAGATCGTTCTTGATGTAATACCTGACCAAAATAATCCATTATTTCCTTACAGCTAAGGTGTACTACAGGGGGGAACTTTGTGCGTTTCTTTTTTTGTTCAGTTTATATTGTAACATGGCTATAAAATGTGTTATAGTAAAGGACATGCATTGTACAGTAATGAAACAAAATGTTGTGGTAGGGGACATGCATTGTATCATGACTAGACAATGTGTTGTGGTAGGGGAATGCATTGTACTATTACGAGACACTGCGATGTGGTAGGGGGAAGTATTGTACCAATACGAGACACTATGATGTGATAGGGGAAAGTATTGTACCAATACGAGACACTATGATGTGATAGGGGAAAGTATTGTACTATTACGAGACACTATGATGTGGTAGGGGAAAGTATTGTTCTATTACGAGACACTTTGATGTGGTAGGGGAAAGTATTGTACCAATACGAGACACTATGATGTGGTAGGGGAAAGTATTGTACTATTACGAGACACTATGATGTGGTAGGGGAAAGTATTGTTCTATTACGAGACACTTTGATGTGGTAGGGGAAAGTATTGTACCAATACGAGACACTATGATGTGGTAGGGGAAAGTATTGTTCTATTACGAGACACTATGATGTGGTAGGGGAAAATATTGTACTATTACGAGACACTTTGATGTGGTAGGGGAAAGTATTGTACCAATACGAGACACTATGATGTGGTAGGGGAAAGTATTGTATTATTACGAGACACTTTGATGTGGTAGGGGAAAGTATTGTACTATTACGAGACACTTTGATGCGGTAGGGTAAAATATTTTGCTATTACGAGACACAACAGCTTGTCACTGTAAGTCAGTTATTCCTCTGAATTTAGTGTCCTTAAACTGTCGCTCAGTGAAGAATAAGTCATTGTCCATCGGGTATTTTGTTACATTTCAGGACATTGACATTCTTGCATTGACAGACACCTGGTTAGGTTCATATATCGATGACCAGATCCTAGCTGAGCTAATACCATCATGCTATGAATTCCATCACAATGCTAGACTTGGCAAACGTGGTGTTGGGGTGGCTGTTCTATTTAAGAAAGGCCTAAATGTGAGACATCTCTCTTCCAGCCATGATGATGTATTCACACACTTTGAGCACTGACTTGTTCTGTCATTGGTGGTGATAAACAATATTTAGATTGTGTATCATTTACAGGCCTCCTCCATCTAAGCAGTTAGTTTTCCGAAATAAAGTGTTTTCTGATGAATGGTCTACCTTTTAAGACCACCAAGTTGTTGTACCACAAGAGATTATTATCACGGGTGATCTTATTTTCCACGATCTATCTAATGTTGATGCTCGCCAGTTCTCTGGTCTACTTGATTCCAGGGGTCTGATTCAGCATGTGACAGAAGCTACACACACCCATGGCCACACACTGGATTAGGTCATAACGAGGGAAGACAACTCATTCATGGATCTATTTCAGTGATTGATCCATGTCTAAATGATATAAAGAGGAACCAATCCGGTGATCATCTTGCTGTCCACACAAACACTGAATTGTAGTAATCCAGCTCGTGCAAGGAAAGAAGTGAGCTTCCGGAAATTCTGCGAAATTTCAATACCAGATTTCAACAATGACATTCAGTCTTGTTCCGCCCTTCAATCTACTGAAGGCGAGGTTGATGATCTTGTTGAAGCATACACATCTGGTATAGAAGGCCTGTGCAAACTAAGGTGATAACTGTGAGACCAGATGCCCCGTGGTATAATGAAAATTTCCGCGTAGAAAAACAGAATCGTAGCAAAGCAGAGAGACAGTGGCGACGGACCAAATTAACCGTTCACCAACAGATTTATAGTGAGCAATGTGAGGATACTAGACAGCTTTTTAGACTCGCCAAACACCTAATGGTACAGAAAGGTGAAATTATCCTACCAAGCTGTAATTCTGAAAAAAACTTTCTGAATAAAATCAGCTCAATCAGGAAAATTATTACCGAAGTTAACACCACTGCTGACATTGACATCTCTGTCATGACTGCTGACATTGCATTTGATAGGGAACCATTGGCAAAACAACCAACAACCCAGGATGAGTTGCGCAACATTATCATGACCTCATAATCGAAGTCCTGTGAGCTTGATCCACTGCCTACAGATCTATTAAAGCAATGTCTTGAAGCACTGCTTCCTTTGATTACCTCAATCATGAACAAATCATTGGCTGAGTCAAAGGTTCCATTATGTTTCAAGAAGGCACATGTCAGACCATTGTAAAAGAAGTCTGGAATGGACAAGGAGGAGTTAAAAAACTACCGCCTAGTTTCAAATCTGCCTTTTCTGTCTAAGATCTTGGAGAAGGTTGTTTCCTTGCGTTTAGAGGTTCATCACCATGCAAAAAGTCTCCATGACAACTTGCAATCGTGTACATAATGATATAGCTTCTGCATTGGATAACAAGTGCAGAGCGGTGCTTGTCATGCTGAACTTGTTAGCTGCATTTGACGTCATCGACGATGGCATACTTTATAAACGTCTGGAATACTCTTATGGAGTGACTGATACCGCACTATGCTGGATACAGTCTTACCTGAGTGAACGACGACAGTGTGTTGCCATCGGATCTTCCACCTCACAAAGTACTAGATTTCGGGGTTCCTCAAGGGTCGGTGTTAGGACCACGAAAATATTGTACATTTCTGTATGTACTCCAATTAGAGAGATTTGTCGTCGCCATAGCCTTCGGTATCTTTTCCCCAACGTGTCAGCATACAATGGCTCTCCAGCTCAAGGTCTGTGCCAGAACTATTGTGACTGTCCCAGCTGTTAAAACCTAGGGGTATACTTTGATAGTTCACTGAACAATTGAACGCTATTGCCAAATCCTGTTACTACCAGATGAGGAACATCGGCTGTAGGCGGCAGTTTATAAATGCAGATGCATGCAAGATTTTGGTGCATTCACTTGTTACCTCTCGGTCGGATTATGGTAACGCCTTGCTCTGTGGTATATCTGGCAAACTAACTAGTCGTCTGCAGCAGCACGGCTAGTTACTCGTACTCGAAAGAGAGAGCACATCACTCCTGTGCTTTATTCGTTGCACTGGCTACCTGTATGATACAGGTCGCAGTACAAAATTCTGGTGTACATATACAAGGCACTGAATGGAACAGCTCCTCAGTACCTACAGGAGCTTGTTACCCTGTATCAGCCGTCACGATCACTGCGGTTGTGTGTCCCAAAATCTCGTACTGTGACCTACGGAAACAGGTGCTTTGGGAGGGTTTCGGCTACGTTGTGGAATAGCTTACCATCTGTTATTAGAAAGTCAAATATCCCATTGCTTGCTTAAA